GAATAGAAAGGGTTTAGAAGGACATTGGCCAAATGCTAGCAAATGAATATAGATTTATTTAGGATTTTTGATCGGCACAGATGAGTCAGACTGAAGGGTCTGCTTCGTGCTGTATATATGTATGGCTATGGCTCTATAACAGACAGAAAAGGTGCTTGGCATACGGAAGACTCATTGGAACACGGTTTACTGTTGTTAATGGGTTTAAGAAACCCTTCAAAAACTGAGGAAAGCATCTGGAGACATTCACTTGAAGTTACTACTCAGCGATTAAGGGACACCAGGACCCAATGAAGCAAGGAGAAACTCTAGTCTGCCAAAAGGACTGTAGTTCTATGCAGAGTAAGAAACGGGTCCAATAAATACGTACACAACTTAAGATGTGACATGACAGTGAATCGGTAGAGCTTCTCAATGATTATACAGTACCACAACTTGCTGAACCCAAGTAAATTTTAAGTGCAATGCCACACAACATTTAAGAATTAGTGTCAAAGGGAAACTTAAACAATCATTTTCCAGTTATTAGTACCTGGAGATTTTCCCAATTCAATTTTTCTTTAAAGATGATCACTACATTAGCATTGATGATTATGTTTCTCTATCAACATACTGAACTTTTCTGATCTGGAATCAGTTTTCAGTTCTGGGATACACAATAAGTCATATGAATCAGATAGGACGCAAGTGCTCATTTGCAGACGTCTGAGGGCTAATGGAAGATACTGAAGTTAGTGAATATCACGAGACTCAAGGGAAGGCAACTTCAGTTTCATGATTTCCAAAAAGGAAGAGGCTGCAATTTTCAAGTGAAATTATTTGCATAGAGGTTTCTAAGAGTTATGCAGTCATTCCTCTCTGGAACAGTCATAGAATTTAGTTATTTTATTTAATTCCTGAAATTGTTTGCCTCAATCATTATCAGCATAAATATGAACACAGTTGAACTCTCAGCTCAAACAAACCACAGATTCTGGATTCATCTGCCACTCAAGCAATAAAATGTACTTGAAGCTCAAAAATTTCCAAATACAACAACTTCACCAGTTTGTTTTCAAACTAATCAGGAAATAAAACTACCAAATATAGAGACAGCCGGAGGAAAGAAGTTACTTACGACATTTAGTTTTCAAAACAAACTTGCATTTAAGTAGTGCATTCACAACAAAAATCACTTTACAGCCTTTCAATACATCTGAAATATGGTCATTCTTACATTATCAGAAACACGGCTGCATTTACACACAGCAAGGTTCCGTAAAGAGCATGTAATCCATTATTGTGACACTAATTATTCATCAATCAACAGCCAAGACGTTGGGAATAACACCCATTTTTCCACCAGACAGTGGCATGGGATATTTTATATTCAACTGAGAGGATACATGATCTTTCAGTTCACCTTCTCATCTGAAAGACAGCACATCCTTCAGTACAGCATAGGATTATTAGCCTGATGTTTTATTCTCAAGTCGGGAAACAGACCCTTTGGTCCAACTCGTCCAAGCCGACCAGGCATCCCAATCTGACCTAGTCCCATTTGCCAGCATTTGGCCCATATCCCTCTAAACCCTTCCTATTCATATACCCATCCAGATGCCTTTTAAATGTTGTAGTTATACCCGCCTCCACCACTTCCTCTGGCAGCTTGTTTCATACAGGCACCAGCCTCTACATGAAAAAGTTACTCCTGACGTAATTTTAAAATCCTTCCCTTCTCACCTTAAATCTATGCTTTCTAGTTTTGGACCCCACTTAACCTGGGGGAGAAATAAAAACAGTAAACTTGAAACTACAACCTGCTGACTGAGATGATAGTGCAACCACAGTCACAACAAACTTAGTCACCCTTAATACTTAAGTAACGCCAAAGCTAAGCACATATCCACCTCTGAAACAATGAGGGCATAACAGAAAAAATAAGTAGCCAAAATAGTTTAAAATTCTACAGCAGAAAATTTATACTCTAAATGGTTTTAAAATCTGATGGTTAAAATATACCATTGATCTAAAGTAGAACGGCTTCCAGTTATCAGACTGATAATCAGCATATTCAGTGTGCATGAGACTAAGATTGAAACATCCCAAGAAAGCGAGAATAGTTACACAGCAGGTCATTTCCTTCAGGTTGACAGAAATGACAATTTAGGAGGTGTTTTCTTCAGAATGGAGACATACGAGATGCCTGACCATAAACAGTGGTAGATAGAATTCATCTCAATTGGAGCAAAGAAATAAATTTCCAAAAGGTTTTAAGAAGAACTATGGGGGTGGGGAGGTAGGAGAGAGAAGAACAATAGACTAACTAAGCAGATGGCTGAGGGTTGGTGCAGACTCAGACTAAATAGCATCATTCTGTGTGACAGTGTTTTGTAACTCATGTAGATATGGAGCAAGAGAAAGACTATTTGACGCAACGTGGCACTTTTCTACAAATAGTTCAATAATTACATTTTATAGAGTTTAATCTCATGAAGAGAGTGCCTAATTTAGAAAGAGCTTCCAATTTAACTCAAATATTTCCCTTAAACCAAAACAACCTCGCAAGACTAGGGGCAAGATTTCAGTCAACACATCAGTAGTTGCGTTAAAGTCAACCCATCAATGAAATTAGGCTTGTATAAAAATTAGCAATACTAAAAAGACAATGCACAGTACTCATTAGGCAAACTTGCACTTTTCCTAAACTAGTGTTGAAATTCAAGTCTGATTGTTATGACTCTTCAAAGTGATTTTAAATATCTGAAAATTAAAACTAGTCAGTCATCTTCAAATTTTTTTTCACTATATAGTGGTTGATAGCCAATTATAGCATCTCCATGAAAAAATAAAACAACACTGCTTCTAATAAGAATACAGATAGCAATCTAGTAGAAAGTTCAATTTTAGTTATACAGCTATAAACACAAAAGCTGCTGTTTGCATACAGTTTGCTTTCTCCTCACCTTCAAAAGATTGAAGCCATTAATCAATGCAGTAATGACTGGTTTTGTCTGCAGCCTAAGCTAAGACCTTGCTTTACACTCTCCAGTGCACTCCAACTACTTCATTGTTCGATTGCAATAGTTGTGGTTTGAATGAGTGTTAAAAGCTGCTACCATTAACCCAAGCAACAGATGCCAAATGCGGAAATGGAGAAGGAAGAAACGCAAACATAACTGGCAAACTTCTACTCCAGTTTGAAACACTGAGTCAGATTAACTCAAAAGCGCATAATTTTACAAGTCATAAACGAAAGGGATCCGTTTCTGATCCAAGCTTAAAACATAGAATAGAACATTAAGCACTAATGTCTACAAATCAAATCAATAACCAACGGCCAAGAGCATTTTATGTTTTTCAT